ATATAACAGTCTAAAGATGCTTACTATTCCGATTTATAGGCTGTAAGTATTGGTTGCATTGCTTTATCATTTGCATTTTAATCGTAAGGTCGTTCGCGCCTTTTTGCACAACTTTTTGAGAGTACCGTCTTGAAAATTTAAACTGCTATTAATTGGCAACATTGCGCGGGACCAAACAGTTTATTTGTATGTTTGTATTTACCTCTAATATTTAAATAAATTTAAAAAATAAACACCTATTTTTAATTTATCTGAGAATATGCAAATTAAAGCGGTTGGCGGTTTTAACACTTTACACGCCATATACTTATTTTTGGGACTCGAAATGTTACCAATTAATGACACCCTTACTTGGCTAGCATTAGTTCCACGTGTATTGCACAACATTTATTGCGTATCCATTGTTTGTAAAAGTCGTAAAATTACAGAAAACTCGAATGTTTATTCAATATAAATATAGACAACTTTAACAACTAAATAACGAGGTAAAAGTAATAAATAGAACAGTTCAAATAATAGTATTCTGATAAATTATTGTATAATACCCACTCTCAAATAGAAAAACGAACCACTATAACGTTCTTTTTAATATTTTTAAGTAGTTAGCAAAAGCAAAGTTAGGTTATCCAAATATCTCCGGACTAAAGGTGTCAGCACATATTATGTTAAGCCGAAATCGGGTTGAGTCTGTTACAAAAAGCGTTATATCCATGCAATACATTCAGGTTTATTTGTACAATACCAACAACCTTGCGGGATTATATTACAAACATCTTATACTCGCGAGATGTTTTTATGAAACTCGTCTGTCGGCTCGTTTCATAAACCCTCACTCGCATTTTAATGCCTTACATTATATATCAGTTACATAAACTACTATTATTTTTGTACGAAAGTAAAGATTAATTAAAGGCATGGAACAAAAGTCGTTGTTTATGGTTTTTTTATAACATCCAGGGACGGGACGAACATGTCGTGCACCCGATAGTAACCTACACGCCTGTCCATAACAGTTGCAGTGCCACTCAGAGCTTTAAATTGCAAAGATCAGAGAGGCCACTGCGCCCATCACCCTGAAACAAGTTGACAAGTCCCTGTAATTTCACCAGCATGATGTTAGGTCATATAGTATCGCGAAATGTTTAATGATGCATAACGCACGTCTTTATCGCTCTTATTACGAGGACATAATAAGTGTCGACAAATGTGGTGACGCCTTAACGCGCACAGCACGCATTATTTTATAATATGATAATGGCAAATCAAGATTTGGTAAGCCAAGTTTCTTTTCTGACATAATGGATACGCAATTTTACAAATAACATCGATTAAACTCACTGCACAACATTAAAAAAACAATTCACAATATAGTGCATTATTATTCTATTCAATATGTGATGCCGAGTAAAAAAAAATATAAAATCCAAAAATAGTCACCTAAAACAAGACACAATAAATATATTTAACTCTATGCCAAAGTTATTATTAACAATATCCTAAAACACTTTAAATAAGCAGAAAACTATGATCTTTACCTCTACCGGTGGACAAAGGAAAAAATAACAGTGTATACACGTTTTCTACAGTTGCTATTCTTAACTGATGTTTGTAGAAATCTCTAACGAGCTTCACATACAGCCGATAGCACTGACAATAGCACGCTATCAAAATTGTATGAAAAAATCTCGCCGCCCAACCAGAGATGCGCTGAGCTCCGACTACGCGGTTTACACACTAAGCGGTTTTGATTTACAGACTTCAACAAAGCAATCGTTTTTTCACAACGTCACGCATATATCAGTTTAAAATTAAACTTCTGAAAAACAATTTACAATTTCTATACTTGACGCTTTGCTTCTTTCTTATAGAAAATGTTACGATAACGACAATCCACTACCCTAATAATCAGCAATTCTCTCGTTTTCCTACAAAATAGTATTACAATGTACTCTAAACCATTCCACGTCTAATGTATACTAGTAGTATTAATTACGTGTAACAAAATTGCAATAGCAAGTTAAATAACATTGAAGCGTTGTTACAATGTCACAAACATATTCGATAAATGAAAAAAATAGGGCACTTGGTACTCTTTATAATCGTCTTATAGCGCGATATAATGTCATCCTCAGCTATACGGCGATTTACGCAGTTTAGCTATGAGCACCGCAATGAAGCGTACTGCCAAGTATAGTGTGACCCTTAAGTAACAAAAAACGAAATCATATTCGATGTTTAATCTCAAAAATTACCAAATTAATTTCAAATGCACTGCTTGAAGCAATGTACAACTCATGGTACAATAAAAGAAATTATTATTAAATAATATGGCTGTTTAAACACCCCATTTGTTCGTCAAATACAACCATTTAATAAGTAAAAATATAAATTCAATTCCAGCTATTACAGGCTTCAGTATTACAGCCTCCAATATTTTAATACGTACAACGTATTTGTTCAGCTGTATTAAATACAATAGATTGCAAAATATCAAGATATTGAAGTTTGATTATTTGTACAGTATTGAAAACGTAAGGCCCATCCACAAGGTCGAGTTTCACCGCGGTTCGGGCATTCGGGCCACGCACAAATCGTTTGCAAGGAGTACGTTTTCCTATGAAGAGCAACAAACACACACACCGCACCACAATACAACGCGCCACGAGAATATAACGAACATAATAATAATTACTTAAAAACTTCGCATTAACAATTAAAAACTCTTCTTTCAAGAAAAAAAAATTATCTTAGCTCCTATAAAAAAGGGGTAAACTATGAAATGCATTATATACAGAGTTAAGGAAGTTATAATCTAAGTATACTTCTCTTGATATGCTGAATGGTTCTTTTCGTTATTCTAAATTCGAATTGACGTTACGCTAATTACATTTACGATCATTCGCTGTATTTACATATGAAAATGATTTTGATCAACCGATCTGTAACCGCGGCGAGATTGTAGCGTATAATAACACATACATATAATACAGAGTCGACCAGGTATGATTTTATTACCACTGTTTTATACATACGTATATGTATGTTTTAGGGCGACTTCAAAATAAGACGCTTATAGAAGCGCGTCTGTAGTGCTTCAGTAATTTTTAGTTCACTAATTATGACTTCAAAAGTGGTGCTTGCGTGTCACGACAGCGGCGCTGCAACTGCGCTTCTAAATATTGTATGATAATTAGTAGTGGCGCGTAGAGGTGGTTGTTTAAACAAAAAGCACTTAAAAAGGTTTGCTTTGTAATATAAGCTTGTGCACGTTTAAGATGTAAAGTTATAAGCGTTGCTCAGTTCAATACTGAATTTTTTACAACGTGCTTCAGTGTCCAGTCCCGCTATCTATGTTTCCTAAACAAATTAACTCGTCAATATGTAGAATAATGTTATAAATAAATATAAAACTCGTGTTTTACAATTAAATTTATACTTATCTGAAATCTTTAGCGCCCTATTCTCTCTTTTCGCTGTCAACACAATGTTGCAAGCTTTTTTTTTAACATAAAGTCTATCGGCTGAAACGTTTTTGTAAACGATTTTTTAAGTTTCAAACCAAAATGCGTGTAAGCGAAATATGCCTTTTAAGCACGCTTATTTAAAAAAGTTCAATGTTTTATCACTGAAAATTTATAAGCAGTGTTTTCCATCTCTGCAGCGCTTCTATAAGCATGTAATGTGAAGGCCCCCTTAAACTTAATCTAGAATGTATGTATGCCGACAGTAAGATTCTGAACTATACGCATGCTTTTTGAATGCATGCTATATTCAACAGATGTATCAGTAGGTATTGTATACAAGTTCGAATGAATATGTATACATTTCATTTATTATTTAAAAAGTAATAAACTTTATTAAAATTGCGTGCTTATAGTGCCCTTAAATGCGGGTAGAGCCTAAAATACATATAATATACCTTTATGTTAGAACAGCCCCAAATAACTGTAAGTCAGGTGGAGACAAAAATGTAATGACATTGTGACAACACTGTGGCACTTAAAAGCAAGTGGAATGATTTAAATTCTACGATAATCAATTGTTGTGGTATTTTTGTCAGGAAATTACAAACATATTACTCAAATGAATAAATCGTTCACAAAGCATTTAAGTATTGCCACAACGTAAGGTATCTATTAACCCGTATATTGGCAATAGCGGCATTTACCGAAAAATGAAATGTAGGAAATGCGCACGGGGTACGGGTTCACTATATGGCTCACGTTATATTGGGGCTTTGATTGACGCATGCTCGAGAATGCTCACGCATTCCGCGGAAGATTTTGGCTCACGTCTAGTTTGTACGTTACACATTTGACCACAAAGTTCATTATGCTATGTACAATATCGTTACAAAAATTCGCTTACACTCCGTTCCGTCACAATATATGTAAATTGAGCATATGGATCTCAAAAAGCCAACCACAGACTTAATAGTGTGAATATCCATATGCTTTCCGTATAATTGTCGCTTATTGTTTCTTCATAGAGAACTATCAACAATACACTGAAAAAATTCAATGATTTACATTAAACATTTTATACTGAAAGCACTACCTACAGTACGGCACAAATAAAAGTCTGCCATTTTTGTATGCTGTAGTATTTAAGGTTCATGAACGGGTTAATGTTATTGATTTATTATAGACCTTTTGATTCGAAGAGATCGCTGATTTAGTTCCAAGTATAATATTTGTAGCTAGCAAATAATCAACACAGATATACAATATGAGAAAATAAACATTGAACAATCAGCTTCGTCGCGCCAAAAACTCCGACATTTAATTTTGAGAACCAATTTCAGATTATTAGATACTAATGATTCTTTTGCTGTTGGAAAGGGGGTACTTCGCCAGTGATCTCATTAAAATTTGAAGAAAATATTTCACCTCTGAGGGAGGCAAATTAGGGGATGAATGCAGTTTATTGGATTACAACCACTTTCCATTAACGAACTGCAATAAAACTTGGCAAATAGATGTAATTTTGAGGTCGGTTTTTTCTTAAATAATAATATAAATATAATCCACGTCCCGCTTCAAAGTAAATAATTCTAATAAACGACTAACAACAAAAAAATACTTCATAATTATGCTCATAAATATGTAACATTAACGTTAAATGATGTTTTATTATTAACAAAAATACCACAACTCCATACAAACTAATATAATATATCAATGAGATAAATTCAAGAAAACTTACACTGTTTGGGAGATAATAACACCAAGTAATATAGCTACAAAAAGAAAAAGAAACATGTGATTACAATGCAACACATTACCTCTAATAAGTTACGTTAGAACCGAAATGGTCATGAGAAATAGTAGAGCTAGAGTTGACTTTTCAACATCAATATTCCTGTTGTCTCCAGAATCTATTCAAATTCTAACGTTAATGTGTTTGCATGTGTGCCTTTTCTCCCGAACAATGAGAATTCATTGCATAAATTCGTTAATTTACGAACGAAGACAGCAAGAGCTGTCGCCTACCGAAGTCGTCTTCCCATTGATAGGTCCTAAACTTCCGTCGTACTTTGGTAGCTCCTTGCATTTTGCTTGCTGGAATAGGGAATATACATACACATTTTTACATTATGTAATTTAATTATTATTTACTATAGCAAAATAAAAGTAAAGACGGTAAAGCCAAACAAAACCTAATTTAAAATGAACAACCTGTGTCAAACGTGATTTAAGAAATCTATAACAATCAATCACGTTCTTGGCAATTACTGAAAATCAAGTATTTCAATTTATTTTAACCCTACTGGGTTTTTTTGCCAATTTCATAATTTAAAAATAAGTAAATAAATAAATAATTTATAGAGATATATGTATAGCTTCAATAGGGTAATCAAATATTTTTAAAAAATACCTTGATCCCTTGAAACTTTTGATGTGCTTATAATGTATACCTATATACAGTGGTGGTCGTATAATTAGAAACACTACAAACGGTCCTTGACATTATATAAGAAACTTCACCGCAATCGTTTTTATTTTGAAATTCAACAATAAATAGGACAACAATAGGTTCAACGATTTATTATATATTAGAAAAACAATATAAATCCCACTACACAAGTGCAGTTTCAATATTACATTACGGACAAACACTTAAATCAGTTTTAAGGTATAAACAATAATGGACAACTAATTAGCAACAACAACAAAAAAGTGTAAAAAAACAACATTTTTTTAATTATTAGCAATTAGTATTTTTCTTTACGATATAGCTACTATCCACAGCCTACCAATATTTATAATTAATGTTTAGTGGCGTATCCCTTATATTCAATAACAGCTCTGCAACGACGTGACATTGATTCAATCAATGTCATACATTTTTCTAGGGGGATTGAATTCCATGCTTCAACAAATGCTTCATATAATTCGTTTTGACTGGTGTTACGTTTGTTTGAGACTTTCTTCTTAACAATATACCACAGATTTTCTATCGGGTTTAAATCCGGACTATTTGCTGGCCAGTCTAAAACGGATATACGCTGTTCGCTAAGGAAACATTTGACGTTATTGGCCGTGTGTTTAGGATCATTGTCATGCTGAAAGATCCAGGTTACAGGCAAATGATTGTCCGAGTAGGGAATCATTGTGTCCTCTAAGATTTTTTGTATTGCCATTGATCCATTGTACCTTCAATCTTCCGAACGGGACCAACTTCACATCCGGAAAAACACCCCCAAACTTTAATGTTTCCGCCACCGTGCTTGACTATGCTCCTTGTGTATTTATAATTAAAAGCACTGTTTACAGCACGTCTAACATAGCGCTTTCCATCTGAATTTACCATGTTTATTTTCGTTTCATCCTCATACCATCCACCATCATACCATTTCTATTTTCCAGTCTCGTACCGTCCAATTAACATATTGTTTTGCGAATAATAATCGCTTCTCTCGATGTTGCTTGGTAAGAAGCGGTACCCTTTCGAGAGGTTCTTCCAAACAATTTAGCTTCCACTAATCTTTGGCGTATCAGTCTTGATGAGACGTTTCTGGGGTCATCAGGCGAAAAAACTTCATTTTTAATCTGATTTGAGCCTTTAAATGGGTCTTTTTTAGCAACACGAACGATTAGCTTATCTTCTCTGGGAGAGGTTTTTCTTGGCCGAACCTTTCTAAGAACTTTTTCAACAGTTCCATGTGTTTTATAGTGATCAATTGCATTACAAACTTTCTTCACAGAACAATTTAAATGCTCAGCTATTCTTCTGTACGTCCACTTTTGATCGTAATGTAAATTAACAATTATTTGCCTAGTTGACGCTTCACAACTTTTATTTTTGCCCATTTTGAACAAAATTAAATTCAGATCAAACTTTGAATTGCCGCCAAATTAATAGAAAACATCAAGAAAGAAATGTTATTCTTCAATTTCAAAAAAAGAACGAGCTATGGATGCTTTTTTCAAATGTTTCTAATTAGATGTCCAAGCGGCCAGGAACAGAAAATATACTCGTACATTGTGTAAGACTCATTTTATAATTAAAAAGTAAGATATGTTTTATTTTTTATGTATTTAATGTCTTTTTATTTGAGTGGCTATATTATTGCATGATTATTTATTATTGAATTTATATATTATTCACGAATATTTGTACGTTGAAGTTATAAGGAAGTTTTTCCTTCAATCATAAGAAGTGTTTCTAATTAAACGACCACCACTGTATATATTACACACACATAAAAACTGTCTACTAGGAGTGACATAGAGTTGTTAAAACACTAAATACTAATTAATTAAATTTTTTAATTCCGGATTTTAGGAAATGGTTTTTCTGCATCGTAAAACAAAACATCTGACCTAGGGATCTGACATAGGAAGTCGAAGTTGGATTTTAAAGTAATTCTACTGATCCATGTAAAAAAATGCAGTAGATAACTGACCTTTTACCAAAGAAGAGATTTAAAAAAGTAACGAGAATGGTCACTCTCCGCCCCTCACTAGCTTTATAGATTGCACTGCGCCCCGCATAACATATTTGACGGTCACCTTGACGGAAAGGCAATAAGACTGTCAGTTATATACTGCATTATTTTACATGGCACAATTAGAATTATTTTACAATTGAACTTGCACTTCATAGGTAAGTAGTTTGTGCTACGATGGAGTAAAACCAATTCTGGAAATCTGGAATTAAAAAAAAGTAATATTTGGTGGTTTTACCAACTCTATATCGCTCCATGTAGCTATGTCTGTACATGTACCTATACATATATGTGGAACATGTTATTTCGACTTATGATAATAACAATACCGTATTACAAAGCGATATTACATAGCATACTATTTCAAGATTCAACTAGTGCTTTTGACACAGTCTCTATGCCTTTTTCTTTTCTGAACTTACAAGACGGTTGGGAATAAAGGTTTCACATTTGGCAGACTTCAGATTATAGGTACAACAGTGTTAACATTTATGCCAGAACTAGTAAGAGCTTCCTGTGGGCCAAAGTGTCTCTCTAGCAGGGTAGAGTTCTAGGTCCCATACTTTTGTTCGCGTATATATTTTTAAATAGCTAACATACCTCCATAAGTTCAACGGCGATCTCCATAAACAGTCGCTCGACATTCTCAGCCTCCTTTGCCGACGTCTCGAGAAAATACATGCCGTGTCTTTGCGCGAAATCTTCGCCGATATGCCTCGGTATCTCCCTGTCTTCCCTATCTGTCTTATTACCTGGAGTATAGTATAACAAATCATAAATAAATATACTTAATGATATTAAATAATAAATATTATAATAATACACAATCCCACTAATCACCTGGCCTTACGTTAGGTAATTTTGAGAACTAGAGGTAAGTACTGTTCTGGAATTAGTGAATTAATTAATGAGTACGCTTAAGGAAATATAGATGAAAAGACGAGACTCAAATACGCATGGTTGTGTCTAGTTAAAATACACCATATTTGCGCATTGTATTTTTAAGTTAGGTAATTATTGTAGCCTATAGCGTTCGACATCCGGTACCGGACAATGGTGATGTTTGCAATCCGTATTTACCTGAAACCAACAAACTAGCACGGCCTCAAAATATCTGTATAATATTCTCTTCTGATTAGGATTTATATTATAGGAGACTTGGGATTAAATTTATGTGTAAATGGTCGCAAACTTTTTTATAATTTACTAAGTTATGTTTCCTAGGAATAATAATAATCATTTATATCCAGTTACAAGGATATTGATCTTATAATAGGTGCATACAAAAGCTTAAATGATAAAGGGTTCGGCCATTGTGAGAGAGCTTAACCTGTACTAGGATTCACTCTCAGACTAGATCTAGAAATAGACATTTAATAACTATTACTTAATAACATAAAAATAAAAAAGGGAAAGAAGAGATAACAGAATTGTGAGAAAACTAAAACAGTACGTATTTGCATTACAGAAACTGACTCACATATTAATTCACATGTAGAAAAAATTTAAATGTAATTATAACATCAAGTGACGGGGCCAACAAGTCGTGCGCCTGATTTTAAGAATACACGCCTGTCCATAACAGATACAGTGCCACTCAGAGCTTCCTCTCTACGAGCTTACTCTATTCCTGCCGCCAAGCGGTAATGTGAGCATTACTGTGTTCTGGTTTAGAATGGTAAGGGTTCTGGTGAAATTACAGGCACATGGGACTTGTCAACTTATGTCTGTGTGACGGGTGCAGTAGCAATGCAAATATAATACTAATAATAATAATAAAGAGAGTGTTGTCCTCTAACACCCTAACTTTAAACTTATCTCCAATACGTCTGACTTCTGAAGTCTAGGAAAAATAATAAATATCGTTATACAGGAGTAGGATGCTTACATAATTTTCTTCAATTTTATATCATGGTAAAGATATATGGAGATTAAATAAAACCACATTAATCCCCGATCTATCGTATCGACTTTTTTTATATAGCTGATAAAGTTATAAAATAATGTTATGAAATAAAGAAATGCTATTTTCTGTGTTGTCGTGTTTAAATACAATGTACACAATTGATAAGTAGGCTGCTGTCAGGATTGTATTATTCTGTGAATGTTGATGAACTAAAACGATTTGTATATATCAAAACTTTAATAAATTACCTAAAATTTTGAATATTAGGAATGTTAATATGAAGCGATATTTAGATTTTACAATAATACAAGGATATAGAAACACAACAATGGCCACAATGGCACCAAAACCAAATGGTTTATTTATTTTTATTTTAACGGCCTGGCGCATTTAAACAATCTGTGCCTTTTAATTTGGATGAAAATAGTTTTTTTTCCAAGACTGTTACTTTCTCCTTTACCATTCTATTATATGGTTCTCTTTTCAAACAAGTTTTTCAAACTTCAAGTCTTAAAGCGTCATGGGCAGTCGTAGAATTTCAATAAGTGCTATTTTCAACCGACTTCAAAAAAATGAGTAGGTACTCAATTCAAACTTTTTATGTACGTATGTTATGCGACAACTGTGTGAATCGATTTTGGTGAATCTTTTTATGTTGGAAAGAGGGTACCTCAGTAGTGGTCCCATTTCAATTTCAAGAAAATATTCCACTTCTCAAGGTGGCAAATAAAGGAATGAAGGACTTTTGAGGTCGATTTTTTTTAATACTCTGTACTAAGATTATTGCCTTAATAGATACATGTTCAATGTGCATATTTCCATTTAGTCATTGATACCGAGATATGTCTAGACATAGACATTCTTTATTGGTAAAATTAACATTTACATGTCATACAAAATTATAAATTATATTCGTATTATTTTCTTATTTTACTACTATTACTTAACCAATGTGATAATCTTATATTGGACAAACAAAGCGAAGTATTTGTTCCCGCGTCAAAGAACAAATAGCTGATGTCAAACACCATCGCGTAAACAAGTCTGCAGTCTGCGAGCATGTCATGGATAAACCTACACATTCAATGAAGTTTGACAAACCCTTAGGTCCTTGCAAAAGAAGTCCGTTATCTACCCAGGATGCTGCGAGAGGCCATTGAAATTAAAAAGCATCCTAATTTCAACAGGAAAGATGGTTTCTCCGTACCACCAGTTTGGGATCCAGTATTTCCTCTAATGAAAAATCCCAAACAGACATAAGACTGCAGTACTAATTAATATGTTTTAGTTTATTCTAATTTCTATTAATAATAAATTGAACTTAATAAAAATTCATTCAATAAAATAATTTGTAAAACTTAATATAGCGTAAATTGGAATGTTTTCTATGTAAAATTAAAAATAAGGTATTTAATTAATAACTATTGTAACTATAGTGAAAAAATAGGGTGGTTTGCATCAATATTAGACATAACTGGTTGAAGACTGTACCACCTCAGTCAACCGTGACCATGGGACCTGTAAAGGGCCCGAAACGTCGGTTTGTTTGAAAAAACAAATATACGCGATTTAAATCCGGAAAAATAGTTTCATTTCCTATGTGTAACAATCGCGAAAACCTAAGAACTCAATGTGATAAGTTATATATTCATTGCTTGACAAGCCAGTGCTTTAAACTACATCTAAATAAGTTGTCCGAAGCGGAATCTACAATTTCAAGAGGCAGATATTAGAGTTTCTCATAAAATGGTACAATTTTAGAATTTACTACACCATCTTTTCAACTGCCGTAAATGCCGATTGCATGAGACAAACAGTAATGTAGTAGCGCTGACCATAGATATAATTTGGCATAGCCTTGGATATGTAGGTCAGTATCATTGAGTACCTTTCGCTGACAGTCTACTACTTTAGATAAAGGTCGTGTCAAACGACGCCATTTATTACGGCATTTTGCTTTGGGGTAATGCCGCCGATATTAATAGAATCTTTGTTCTGCAGAAACGTGCTGTAGGGCAATTTACAATCTAGGCCCCTAAGGGGTAATGTTTATTCTATAATAAGATTCCGATTGATATTCAAAATTTGCCGTTTACGAAGTTTAAAACTATAGTGAAAAAAAAACTTTAATACTAAAGGTTATTATTCAGCATCTGCGTACTTAGATGTCAAAAATCCGTGGTAGTAACCCGTTTAACTCTTGCAAGTAGTCTTGATCTAAGATGTTTAAATTAAATATTGTAATGATAAATGTATTCTAATGTATATTTACAAAGAGCAACCCCTAGAGTTTCTTGCTCATTCTTCGTTGATATAGATGGTTTGACTTTCACTTTGTAGTTCTGATTATTCGGTCCTGTAACATGTTTATGCATGCAACATTTTGCATACACTGACATGTGATGGCTGTATAGGTGTTTTCAAACACTCTCTACAGCCAGAAATTTGTGATTGACAATGATAAACAGATACTGGAATACGCAAAATATGTTAACCTCCACTTTCAAATAATACACATTGAACGCATAATAATTACCTCTCTAAAATCGCGGAATTATCGAATTGCAATTTATTCTCTTTATAACTCATTTTCCTTCTTTTTTTTTAAATAATATTTATTGCGCAGAAAAAAGCACATAATACATTTAATAAAAAGGTACTGCTTATTTCTATAAGAAATTTCTTCCTGCATATCTAAATACAGGACAAAATAACTACAATAACGGGTTTACGTGCACAAAAAACTATTATAAACTAGATAAATACATATTTCAAAATATAATACCTATAAACTGGATGGAACAGTAGATAAACAATGCTCCTTAACTCTCAATTTAAATGTAGCTGATGATGTTCTTTTTAATTTATTTATTGTTACATTTTTAAAAACTTTATAATGATAACATAAACTTAAGCATGTTTTCCGTAAACCGCTTATTCGACATACATAAATATTTTTAGAGTGTGCATTCACACTGCTGCGCTGCGCATTGACATTAGTATAGATAGATTTCTAGTTTATTTGCTGAATCACAGTACATTAAACAAACTTATGACATTGGTACAATGGTAATCATAAAGAAAAAGGCTAGTCCAGGTTTGCGGGTATGGTCTGGAGTGTTATATTGTATCAGATGTAGAGTTGAATGTACTGTGTCAGCAAAAAGGGCCCGACTCAGCATTATGCCGCAGTTCAGTCGAACTACGACGCTGATGTTTCTGCCAGGTGTTAAGGTAAGCCGGTAAAAAATCAGAATAGAGAATCAATATGGAGTTAGAATGTAAGGTATGTAGTTATAATATTAACTGTATAGGTGAATAAATTATCATATAAGCTATAAACCGTGGACAAGAATGAAAAAAAAAATATGAAAAATGTATATGTAAGGAGTTGTGTGGTTGTATAATAATTGTAGATGAATGTTGTTTTGCTTAGTGGTGTGTGTATGTAATAAGTAAGTGGAGTGTATGTGTGGTTTATATATAACTATGAAACATAAAGTATTAGGGGTTAAAGTATGAAATTGCCGTTTTATTGCAATAGGTTCTTTGAATTTTCATAGAATCTTCATGGTTTGAGGTTTTCGAATGAAACTTTTTTCAAATGGTTTCTGTGATTTTTTTTTTTTTAAATTTGAAACATTTGAATATCGACTTTCAATTGTTTTTGTTATTCAATTTAGACAAGAAAGATGGATACTGCGAAAATTCGAGTGATTTTTGAATACGAGTTCCGACGCGGAACTAACGCGGCAGAAACAGCCCGCAATATCAATGCTGCGTTTGGAGAGGGGTCTACTAATGAACGCACCGTGCGATTTTGGTTTAAACGCTTTCGTGATGGAAATTTCGACTTAAAGAACGAGCCACGAAGAAGACCGCCCACACAGGTGAATAACGATGAATTAAGAGAGATAGTGGAAGCCGATCCTAGTCAAACTACCCAGGAATTAGCGGCATGGTTTAACGTTACCTTACCCACAATATTGACTCACTTGCGTCAAATCAATAAAATAAAAAAATACGAAAAATGAACAAACGAGGGTGCCTCATGATTTGACTGATCTGCAGAAAGAAACGCGTGTTGAAACTTGTGTTGCCTTGTTGAACCGGTACAGAAATGAAGGAATATTGGATCGAATTGTAACATGTGATGAAAAGTGGATTCTTTATGATAACCGGAAAAGAAAAATGCAATGGCTGACCCCAGGTCAAATGCCACAACAGTGTCCTAAAGCAAAACTTACCAATAAAAAGGTAATGGCAACTGTTTGGTGGTCTCAGCATGGTGTTATTCACTATAGTTTTCTCCGATCTGGTCAAGCAATAACGGCAGATGTCTATTGTGCCGAACTCCGAACCATGTTGACAAAACTAGCAGTAAAACAGCCCCGACTCATGAATCGATCTTCACCATTATTGCTCCACGACAACGCGAGACCTCACACAGCACGAGAAACCATTTTGACCCTTCAGGAACTGCAGTTAGAAACCATTCGTCATCCTCCGTATTCACCAGACCTTGCTCCAACGGACTACCATTTTTTTCGTGATTTGGACAATTATCTACGTGACAAGAAGTTTTCTTCCCAGGAGGCAGTACAAAATACTTTCACACAGTTTGTGCAGTCTAGATCGTCGGAGTTCTATCGCAAAGGCATTAATAACCTTCCCATTAGATGGCAGCAATGTATAGATAATAATGGCAACTATTTTGATTAAATAAATTTGTTAAAAATTTAAAAAATAAACAATTTAGATTTTCAGTACAAATCGGCAATTTCATACTTTAACCCCTATTATTTATGGCGAGGAAAATATTTTGTAGGTAGGTAGTGTAATGGAGATTAAGGGTAATTTGTGAACTTTTGATATTGATATCAGACACGCGTCAAAATACCCTGTAGAATTTTTTTAAGTGCGAATTTAAAAGAGTGAATTGATTCTTGATAGTATGTGTGAGAGACGTTAATAAAGGGTATCACTAAATGTATATCAAATCTAAACTAACATTAAATTGTATGTGCATCCCACTGCTGAACACGGGTCACTTATAATAAATTCGTGTACAGTATTTTAATATCAAATTAGGAGTTAGTATATTGTTAGTTAAAGTTATAGTATATGCATAATTATTATATTACATGTACTTAGCATGTGGTGAATTTATGAAAATTATTGGATTACTTATTTGTTTATTAGTCAAGGCAATCTTTTTAATTTCCTATGCTAACGTTCTCTGGATGAAAGTGCTACCAATAATAATGTTGTCTATTGTTAAATTGTCATTAGCTTATTTTAATACATTTACTAATTGTGGTGTTATTGTAATTGTTGATAAGCTTTTTTCTTCAACCTGCGTTTCGTCAGTTATGGACAAGGCCTTAACATAGGAAAAAGTCCTACAAGTTATTTATCTATTTAAAAAAATGAATTTCATGACCTTGGATTCAAGTAAAACAAAATAAATATTTTTCTTTCTATATAGTACTTACGACAAGTTGTCATGCCAGTACTGCCAATGCTAAATGTAGTAACATTATGCTCTCATCACATTGAACCTTTGCACAGTTATGAACCATATACAAGTTGAAAAATTGTAGAACTAAAGACTAGCTAACTTACCAACTAGTATCCTGAGCACCTTATTATTGGCATACTCCTCAATTTCCCTTAGCCAATCAGGCAGGCAGTCAAAGGTGGGTTGGCAAGATATGTCATAGACAAGAATCAGTGCGTGTGCTGATCTGTAGTAACTTTGGGTTATAGAACGGAACCTTTCCTGACCCGCAGTGTCCCATATTTGTAACTGCAAAATTTAAAAACTAGGATTTATTTTGTTTTGGGTTATATTTGAATACAGGGATGTCAATCCCTCCTAAATAAACAGTTTTTACAGCCTTTTCTTTTTTTATTAGGCAATAATATTCACCCAAAAAAGAGACACAATCTATTTGAATGTGACTGAAAAAATGTTTTTTTTTCAGTGAAAAAATGTAAACATAATTCGGTACATCCAATGAACATTATGCCAACTTTACTTGTTGGTCACTTTCTGGTATTTTTGTAAACAGCCATATTTATTTAATAATAAGAAGCAAAAAACAAAATTCGAAAAAAAAACAAAAAACTAATTTTGTGAAAAATATAAAATAAAAACAAAACAGGTATAAAATTTAGGTTGGCATAGTGTTCATTGCAGGTAACAATATATAAATAAATGAAATAACGTTTTAGTTTTTAATTTCACATAAGTTTTAAGCTTGACACAATCTATGTTTGAAGACACCACTCTTCTATACATAGATAGTTACAATTTGCTCTCAGTTTGAATGTTACTTCAACTAAAAATAGTCCTTACCAAATAAGAGGCCAAATTTGACAGCTAAAGAAGGTATAATAGTATGTAACTTTGAATGCGATCAATGAAACAATAAACAAATAATTATTAGTATAATTGAGTTTTTAAAAAATACATAAATTTTATTAAAACATTATATAATATGACAAAACACATTTGAAGTAATGTTTTCACAAATTCCAAAATAAAATGTAATTTTGAGTTACTAGCTATTTCTTTTTAAATAATAGTGTTGTAAGCAATTAATCGCCGGATTTCACTGAGGCACTTTGATTTCTTGGAAAAAAATGTTTTGAGACATTATTTGAGATTGCTTATTGTTGACATTGATTAAACCAAATGGTTTATTACAAGAGTTTAGTGTAAATAAATATGTTCATCTATAAAACAAGGATTTCATACATTTTCAATTATTCTGGCAATAAGCTAGAAATTGTTAAGCTAGAAATGGATATTATAAAGTCAAAATTAAAAGAATTGGAAACAGTCCATCGGAATGTGGGACAATTTTATGAAAATAAGAGGAATTGCTACTGCATTGCAAGGAATTCTGTAAATGAGTTGCTTTTAACAAAATTGCATGATTTGTTCTTTTAGGCCCCCTGAACAACAATGAACTGAAAAATAATCTAAACAATCACAAACTCCTAAAATTTTGAATCAATTTCTTGTGAAAATCGTATAATGTGGTTACCGATATGATTAGTACACATCCCAATTCGCGTCACGATGACAAGTGTCAAATTTGGCCTCTTATTTGGTGACGGTTCTCTGACACTGACCCAAGCCTAGTGGCCGCTATTAAGGAAATAGAATAGAATAGACTATAGAACCAGCATTCTATAGAACTTTCAGAACACAACATTTGGGGAGGTATTAGTAAATAAAAATGGCTGTGATAAGTGATATGATAACAAACACAAATTAATTCATATTATGAACAAACATTCATGCACAGGAACCCTGATTTTAGTTAACATAACTAACATTTACTACGCAATAGACAAAAACAAATATTTCAAATTTGCCCCAAAAACAATAGATTGTTATGAGAAAATGATGCAACAAAGACATCAAAAGTGTAACGAATCTCAGCAGTCACTACAAATCTCTTTTGGATATATTTTATTGAAGCTCAGTTTTATATTTAAATTCTAAATTTAAACGTGATTGTTTTCGGCGTCTTTCTTCACTATTGTTTTCTGTTTTGGATTGACAGCTGTACGTGTTTTTGTAGTAACTTAATAAACTGTAAATACATTAGCTTTGTTCTTGCTCACTCTTTATTAGTACCCACCTAAACCCATTGGTACAGCCCGCTACATTAAGAGAAATAGTAAACAGATTATACCTTCACTTTTTCACCGTCCACTTCGACCGTTTTGATCATAAAATCGACTCCAATAGTCGCGCCTTGCCCGGGAGGAAACAATCCCTGAGTGAACCTTCGCACCAAACATGTTTTACCGACCCCTGCGTTACCAACCAGCACTACTTTGAAGAGAAACTTATAATCCTCCATTTCGAATTCAATTACATTTAAAAACTCCAGATATACGCAAAAAATACTAAATTATCACCATCTACTGTTACGCTTTGATGAATCGACAGTAATGAGCATTACAGTAGGAGATATTGTATCTACACAATCATTTTACGATCAAATCTACATTACTGATTAGATAAGACGCTTCAAATCTGAAATTACTACAAAGGAACCTCTTCCAAAACAATACAAAAGAAATCGTGAACAAACGCGATATCGACTTACGATTTTATGGGTTTGGGCAACGGAAAGTGCTTACAAAGCCTGTTTAAAAATGTTTTGAAATTACAATTACAATAAGTTATAACCATTTTCAAAAATCTTATACCATAAAATATTTGTTCATTTATAAAATATAACATGTTAATCTTGAATAAATTGTCTTCGTGAATTTATTTGTGGATCATTTCATTTCATCCTATAGGCGGGCTTGAATTACTAACAACCTTTTAACAGTTCACTTAATGTCAGTTTCAGAAGTGATTATTTTGTTACGTTTTAGTATAGTACAAAATAAGTAAGGAAGATAAGACTATCCAAAGAAAAAGAGCCCCTGCCTGTTCTTTTTAAATATTTTATCGGTTTTAGAAATAAATAAGTAACCTTTAAAAAAAATATGACACTTGTCCTTTCATTCATAATCATAGTCAAAGCATAAAATGTCAATAAGAAATGTTATAGTCGCCGGAGACGAATATTCCCCTATAAAAATTAAAATTGTCTAACATTAATTAACTTGGTGTAATTAGAATTGCTCCATTAATTGATTGCTTCAGAAATAATGTCCAGTATAAATTACACGACTCGTACTGAAGGTCAAACCAAGATAAATACTATAATATGGACGGTGCCAAACTTCATCAACTTGCTAGAAAATAAAACTGCGAGAGAATTTCGGACGGAAAAGTCGAAGGATCCCAATATGGCTGAAGTAGTGGACTCGAGATTTCAATTAAAGATGCAGTTCTTAGGGCGTGATAACGATATTATCGAGATATATTACTTGTCACCTAATCCTGTGTTTTTGAAATCGATTCTCACAATATGTTTAAAAAGATTCGAAGAGCGATCTATCGTTATAAAGGAGTATCACACTGTACAAGCTAACAAATGGCAGTATTTAGCTACGTTGTTCAAACGAGACATAGCCAGCTACGATGGACGCGACATTTTCTTGCTTAGTGATGGCAGCCTACGGTTAAAATTCCAATTCATGGTCACAAATGATATAAAAGTTGATAGAACCAATGTTCCTGAGGCGCAATTGAGTAATGACTTTGAGAATTTACTTAATAATGGATTATTTTCTGATGTTACAATGAAGTCTGCAGAAAGCGTTGAATTTAAAGTTCATAAGGCAGTTTTAGCGAGCCGTAGCGCTGTATTGAAGGCGCATTTTGAACACAACACTACAGAGTGTTTTACGAATGAAGTAGAATCTCCTTTAGAAGCTGAAGTTCTTAGAGAAGTACTTACTTTTATATACAGCGACAAAGCACCAAGAGTGGACGAGATACCTGAAAGACTACTTGCGGCTGCAGATTATTACCAACTGAGCCGGCTTAAAAGCTTATGTGAGGAAGCATTACATAAGAAATTAACAGTAGAAAATGCTATAGAAACATTACAATTAGCGGATTTACATTCGGCAAATACCTTGAAACAATTAACCTTGGAATTCATTAAAGATGGTCAAGCTAAGCTTATCACTAAGACTGAAGGTTGGGCTAAAGTGAAATCAGTAGAGCTAATAAAAAGAATTTATGAATACATAATGGCTGATGATATTGAAGCCGATATAAAGTAGATTGTTATTTCATATTTACGCCACATGGTCTCATTAGTGTATTCATGTTGAAGTATTTATTATTATATAGACAATTTTAAATATGTACAGTTATATAAATTTTATTATTTATTACGTATACCTAATACCTGATTGGAAATTTTCTTACAGACTGGTATAAGTTACAGACATACTTTTACATGTGTAGAATAAATATATTAATATTAAATATGTATATTCAAAATAAATATAGACTTGTAATTGGTTAAGAGCATGTCAAGCTTACACTTAGGGTGAATTTACATAGCCGCGAAATGGAACACCAGATAAGAACGATGCCACACAATGCCTTGTAGATGAGACGCAGCGTTATAGTACAAATATAAATTAGTACTACATGCCAAACGATGCGTGAAACGGCGCGCATTGATAGAATGCGTGGGGCGCACAAGGGGCCTGAAGACGAAGGAGTGGCGCTGCGGTGCGTAAGTAAGCTGCGTTACGTTGCGACGATATTGCGTTGTGATAGTGACACTGCGTTGCACTATTTACATTTTTTTTTTTAAATTTATTATTCAATTTACAATTAACACATATGTACATTTAGATTTTCCTTTCAAAAACCCTTTAATGGGTTTATGCGAAAGGAATTGAGTCGCAATAACTAAATACTAAGACAAAAATATTATAATTTAAACTAAAAAATAATATAATATACTTAAGTAAATAAAGTTATGAATTCTGCCCTTTAAATCCACCGAAATAATAACGTTTTACAGCTTGTTTACATTTTTTTACACTTGAGAAAATATCCTCATGAAGCTCTGCTGGTAATTTATTTAGTATGTCAGGCAACATGTAGTTAGCCGCCCTCATACCGTACGTATTAGTGGTTCTAGGCAGTTGATATGTGGGCAGGTAAGTGATGTTGCGTAACCGACCATCTCTGCTCGTTTTCATGATTTGGCCAATCTTGTCAAAGTTGTCCAATAAAATAATCATATTGGACTTCTCAAAAACCGACATCACCTTACAATGGTTGAAAAGACCGAGGTCGTCATCATTATATTTATTTTTAACTTTATTTGACACTATCGATTTCAGTATACTAACCTGCAATTTGTATATTTTATCTATGTATGTTTTGTAAGTACGTCCATAGCTACCTAATCCATAAGCAATTATTGAATCCGCCAATGCAAGGTACAACATTCTAAGAGTATGATATGGTAACTTATACTTTAAAATTGAAAGTTTAGCATTAATAGACCTTAGCTTGTTAGTCACACTTTCAATATGCGGTCCCCAATTAAAATGTTTGTCAACATACATCATGAAACCAAATACTGTGATAACTAAAAATGTGCAATCGAGATTTGAAAGTTTGAAAAGTGCTGATTGAAACTAGTAAATATAATACTGTTTTTTATAAATGGATAACTAAATATTATGTATAAATAAAAATAATCACATTATTCGCAGTAAGATCCCATCAGTATTTTTTTTAGTTACAACAGTATTTGGTTGCATGATGTAGTTATGTATAGTACAATGCAGCGTCATAAAGTCGTCGTAGATTAAAAAAAAATTAAAACTGTTTATTTCAAATATTAATACCAGTTACAGTACATGCCAAGTAGAATCTTACAATTAAAGATTATTTATCCTTTTCTAGTGAGTTGCGTTAATATGTAGGTACAACAATTACATGAATGACCAATTTGCGTATGCCTCCTCTGATATTGTTCTTTCATGTAAAATCTTTTTAATTTGTTTTTGACTTGTATAAGTTTTTATCTGTTATTTCATTTATAAGATTTTTTGGTAAGCTATTTAATATCACAGGAAGTTCACACATCCAAACTCTTTTACCATAATTATTGTTATATTTAGGTATATCACACATAGGTAGATGTGATAATGTACGTAATGAATTCGGTCTAATTTTAATTTTTAATGACTTAATTTTTTCACAATTTTCGGTTATGGTTGCTAATTTAAAGTCAAAGTCAAAGATTATTTATTCCATAGGTAAAATAAATTTACACTTGAAAACGTCACATTTAAGCT